ACATGCCACCACGCACCATGCAGTAGCTGGGGGGCATTTGTGGGAACCAAATTAAATCAAAACCCTAGGTCAAATAATTCCTTCCATTTGGGAATTATTTGACCTAATTGGGAGTTACTCAATTTAGTTGGGAGTTACCCAATTAAATGGGGAGTTACCTAATTAATTTGGGATTGATTTGATTCCTACCCCAATTAGGGATTTGATTTAAATCAAATAAATCAAATCCCTAATTAATCAAATCTCGCTAAATCGGGGAGGAATAATTCCTTTCCATCTATGGAATTATTCCTCTGAAACTCTAGCCTCCGAGACCACTATAAATAGATGGCAACACACAAGGGTTGAGGTACGTCTGAAATCTCTACTGAAACTCTGCAGAAAATTCCTCTCACAAACCCTAGCCACCTCTTCTCTCTCTTTCTCTCTCTTTTATATAAGGCTTCGGCCGCCCGGTTCACACCATAAACACATCTTCGTACCCTATTAACTATTGTTTTCTATACGATTCAATTGAACTAATTTAGCCTTTGGCCAACACCCCCAAGGTGTGGTCCTCTTATTTGTTCTATTTTGTAGGGAGAAAGAGGCGGCGAAGAAGAAAGGGGAATCCTTCCAATCGAATATTCTCATGAGGAAATTTGCTCCCACACTATGCAAGCCCTAGTAATAAACCCTGAATGGCCAACTGACTTCTATCTTCAAGCAGCTGCCCTAAAGAGCCTAGGGATGGACAATGATGCGCAGGAAACTCTAAATGATGGAGCATCGTTGGAAGTCAAAAAAAATAAAGGCTGAAACTGTATAGGTGTTTTTCCCTCTTCTTTCATTTACAATCGTATCTAGCTTTTTCCATCTTCCCACTTTGACATTTGAGTTCTGCTCTGCGGCAACAGGAGGATTAATTGTAACAATCTTTATGTTGGTCTTGGTGTATCTTTTTAATTATTTTGATCTATACAAGTAAAAAAATTATTGTTTGTTTGCTCTGCTGTGTTTTATTTGATTTAGATTTTTGAGTTTGCATCATGTAAAATGTCCTTTGGATCATAAATTTATTGGATTATAAATTAAAACAGGGGCTTTGAAATAAATAATAGGTGGTTTATGATGCATCAACATGCTTTCTTTATCATTTGACATTCCCTTGGAAGAAGATGGCTCATGGGGAATAAGAAGGAAATTTAAAACTGAAAATTTGATGGTAATACAATGGAAACTTCCCTGGTTGACTTTGAGAGTCTTGACCCTGCTGGATGGTGAAGAAGGCCATATATATGATCCTTCCTTCCGCGTCTAATTGTCCCCCACACCAATTTCATTATTTCATTCGTATAATTTGATGCATGACTTCTCATATCTTTTTAAAGTAATGGTGACCATGAATTTCCCCTCTTGAAGTCTCCTAGAACTACCCAGGAAAGTGGTACAAAACTAAAAAGATTTTCTATTTAAACCCCACACTTCTCTTAGTTCACCCCATGTTCTAAGTTCACCCCAACTTTTAATTTAAAATTTCACAATTTCTAAAAAAACCCCACTATCTTCCCAAACTACCCTTAAATACACCCCAATCTGAAAAAATAAGAAAGAAAAGAAATTTTCTATTTAAACCCCACAAGCTACCCTTAGAGGAGGAATGTATACAACTTTGGGGAGATCGTGCTGGAAATTTTAAGCAATGACAGGTTGACAAATTCAGGAGCAAGCATACAGAGTAAGTCAAGGAAAGTTGTTATGAGAGAAATTTACAATGAGAATGAAGTTGGTACGAATGTTCCGATGTGAGAGGAGATAAAACTGGTACTTGAGGTGCTACACTTTGCACTAGGAGTAGGCCATCTGATCGTCCATCAATGGAGAATACATTGAAGCTTTTATCAAAGTGGAAAAGAAACAAGAAAAATTACCCAACTATTGAAGTTGCAGCAATAGGATTATGATTTTAGATGCACACTGGAATGCCAGAAGTGATAATAATATTACTGTTCCCAACAGAAAAAAAAACACAAACAAACCCAAATCCGAAATTCAATATTTTCTAGAGAAAGATAACAGCTTTACCAAAACATTAGGTATTTAAAAAAAAACAAAAAACAAAAAAACAAAAGCAATCAACAAAGGGAAGAGAATAAGATCATTACAACCAAACAATTAACAAGTCTTTCCATTAGCTCCCACGTAGATTTTAAAGAGACATGCTCTTCAATGTTCTACGTCTCTGGCAATACGATGTAAAAGAGTTTGTATTTTTCTAAAACTTAATATGAAGAGTGGTGGGGTGTATGGGGTGTGTGTATAGATATACTAGGGTTAAGTATTAAGTTGGATGACCTTTTTTGAGATTGTAATGCCACATATTCTTTTGCTTGATAAGAGCAAGGCCACATATCCACAACACCATATGATCCAAAACTTTTGGTCTTGTTGTTGGTCCTACTTGGTTTAACACAAGACAATGACATGGATTTATATCCTATGATTCCCTCATCCCCTTCTTCTTCCTACTGTTCAAGCAGTACCAGATTGAATTGGTAATTTGAAAAACAAAGACAAATTAGGTGGCAGACTAAGAGAGCGTTTAGAAGGAGACTTAAATAGTGGAGATGCTTGCAGGTGGTTTGGTTGGAGCTTGGTTGACATTGGCGATGGTGTTCATGTTATAGAGGTAAAGGAGGATGGAGGTTAAAGATTTTTGAACATTTTTCCAAAGGGAAATCCTCCAAAATCTCTTATTTTCTTAGTATTTCTTGTTCAATATTATTTTTTCCTCTTAAGCTAACTAAACTCTAGAAGCACAACTCAACTTTTTAGACACAAACATTCATACGCAATTTAGCTAGGTTTCAAGCTCTCTCTCTCTCTCTCTCTCTCTCTCTCTCTCTCTCTCTGTGACTTGGTTTATCAGATACTATTAATGGGAACCAGATTCTGTCTTTGCTTCCGCCCGTCCAATAATATCAATGAATTCTCGGACATAGGTGAGATTTTCCATTTTTTTGTATTGTTGTTTTTGTTCGTTTGAATGTTTTTTTCCCTTACTTTCCCGAGAAAGTCTTGCATACTTTTTTCTTTTCTGAAATGCAGAGGCCGGGAACAAAAACGAAAAGAACTCGCTGTCTGTGTTCAGCTTGGACCAACTAAGAGCTGCCACATCAGGATTCTCGTTCCATAATGTTGTCTCTGAGCATGCAGAGAAAGCTCCCAATGTGGTCTACAAAGGGAAGCTGGAAGACGGCCGTTTGATCGCCATTAAGCGCTTCACCCTCTCCGCTTGGCCGGATTCCCGCCCATTTCTTGTGCGTACATTGACAGTTAGCTAAATTTACTTCGTCATTTTCTTTTTAATAAACAAATCTATATGTGGTGGGTTTGGTTATCTCCCTTATAGGAGGAAGCTAGAGCTGTGGGGAGGCTAAGCAACGAGCGTTTGGTGAATTTGATCGGGTGTTGCATTGAGGACGATGAGAGATTGCTTGTGGCTGAGTTCATGCCAAATGAAACTCTCTCCAAGCACCTTTTCCAGTGTAAGTTCCCCCCAAATCTTCAACTAAACTTATTTTGCTTTGTCTTATTTCGGTGTGAGTGGTGTGATGGTATGTGTTTGATGAAAATGGGATTTGACAACCCTCTGGTTTGTTAAGTTTGAGGAAAAGATCAACAGAAGATTATATTATTTTGTTTTCTGTTGGTATTGATATTGAAGTAATTATAGGATGAAATTGGTACAAATTGGTGTAGGGGAGACTCAACCGATGAAATGGGCAATGAGATTGAGAGTGGCTTTGTATGTGGCACAGGCTTTAGAGTATTGCAGCAGCAAAGGGCAGGCATTGTACCATGATCTCAATGCTCATAGAGTCCTGTTTGATCAGGTAATTAATTGGACTCTTATACCCTTTCATTTCAACAAAATTTGTTAATCTTTTCTTGGACCTTACATTGAGCCAGCACTTGATTGACAGGATGGAAATCCCAGACTCTCTTGCTTTGGCCTTATGAAGAATAGTAAAGATGGCAAGAGCTCTACCAACTTGGCTTTCACCCCTGCAGAGTTCTTGAGGACAGGTAACTCATATCATCACTGCTTCAGCAAATGGAAAAACAGTTTTCTAATTCAATCTTATACTTGTCATGCATGAGCTTTCGACTGTTGATCTACACGATGGATAGTATTTAGTTGAGCTAATTGTACATATTTCTGTTTGGCGTGCAGGAAGAGTGATACCAGAAAGTTTGGTTTACAGCTTTGGGACCCTGTTGCTCAATCTGCTCAGTGGCAGACATATCCCTCCAAGCCATGTAAGTTTCCCTTTCCTTCGTATGTTCGATTGAGATGCAGTAATTGTTGTCCTGATATTTTGCTTGACATCTTATGGTCTATATATGTAACTTGTGTTTATAAATGTGCTCTAAGTTAAGGCTATCTGATTGTGTCTCATTCTCAGCATTTCCTGATAAGTAATTGGTTGCCAATTATGGCTTCTGGTTAAGCTTCTAGCTAAGTAAGGTTTAATTTTCTATCTACAAGGCACTTGACCTCATACGCGACAAGAATTTTTTGATGCTGATGGACTCATGCTTGGAAGGTCATTTCTCAAATGACTACGGTAATGAGACGGTGCGGTTGGCTTCACAATGTTTGCAGTATGAACCTCATAACAGGCCAGATTTCAAGTACATTATTTCTGCACTTTCTCCTCTTCAAGAACAAACTGAGGTATGCCCAACTTCATTTGTTATATGATTTGAAATTTGATTTGTTTTAGGCTAAGCTGGAAATTGGTTACAATTAAGCTACGTCAATGGTTCAATTCTCTTCCATCGTAGCCAAAAATTGATTATTGTTTTCGAAATTGGATTTGCATTACTTCTGCAATAGAAAGCCATGAAGGTATTATTCATCTCACCTAGTGGTTTGTAGCAGGTTCCATCATACGTTTTGATGGGTTTTCCACATGGAAATATTCCTCCAAAGCAGACAGTGTTGTTACCGCTAGGTGAAGCTTGCTCGAGATTAGATCTTGCTAGAATACATGAAATATTGCTGATGATTGGATACAAGGAAGATGAGGGGGCTCAAACTGAAGTTAGTGATCCTCATTTCTGATTTTTCCGTATTGTATATTTTGTGACATCTACCAAGGGAGAAAAAAAAAAACTTGTTTTCACTGTTTCCTAGCAAATTTTATTCTTTTACGTTTACGTGAACTTTTTGTGTTGAATTTGTTTAATGCACTGCCCTTACTTTGGAGTTACCTTGCAGCTTTCTTTCCAAGTGTGGACAGACCAAATGCAGGAAAGATTGAACTTTAAGAAACAGGGGGATGCTGCATTTCAAGCAAAAGAATTTGCTAGTGCCATAGAATTTTACACAGAAGTAAGTCAGTACTCACTATTTTTTTTGGGTCAAAAGTACTCACTAATTTAGAACTACGAAATTTTTTCGTCATCGTTGTGTCATCAAAATTGCCACTTACACGATGTAATTTGCTCCTTCATCTAGTTATAGAATCATATTAGACTATATGATTAGTGTCGGGGTTACAAGAATTGAAGTATTCTGTTCTGCAGACAAAAAGTTGCGAGTTTCCCTAACCTTCATGTGATTTCAGATGCTTATCATCTTACTCCGAGCCGGATTTCCTTTCTTCCTTCTCGTTGCAGTTCATTGATCGTGGGAGCATTGAATCAGGAACGTTGTTTGCTAGACGGTGCTTGTGTTACTTGATGAGTGATATGGCACAAGAAGCTCTTGGAGATGCTATGCAGGCTCTTGTACAAGACCCTGAATGGCCAACTGCCTTATATCTCCAAGCAGCTGCCCTGAAGAGCCTAGGATTGAACAATGACGCTGAGCAAACCCTAAAAGATGGCTCATCCTTGGAAGTCAAGAAAAACATAAAATATGAAAGTGTAACAAAATCTTAAGAATGTTGTAACAAAATAAACACCTTTAGGTTTGAGTTTCAGCTCAACTAATAAACTACTGCTGCTGCTTGACATCAACATCAACAAACATATTGAAAATTTAGTAGATGAGTGGTTCGATGGGATAGTTCATTTCGTAACTAGGGTCTTCGTTTGAAGGAAACACAGCGACAGATTTAGGGCCATTTGGAACATAAGAAAATCTAACAAAAACGTGCATCAGATTTCAAACTACAACCTCTTATGAATATACAGAGAATTAATGCATTGAGAAAGCATGATAAAGAAAAATGAATATTAAAAAAGGGTGCGTAAATTGCCTGGAATAGGGTACTTAGGATTTCTATGCTATAAGACCACTCCAAACCAGGAATGGGCGAAGGATGCAATTTTTTTTCAAAGGAAGAAGAGAATAAGGCGGGATAGGAAAAGTATAGCCGTGCGGTTGTACCTTTTAAATGTATTCAAATATTTAAATAGCTATACTATTTGAAAAAAACATAGATTTCTCAAAGACCCAGATACAAGAACAGTAGGATAAGATGTTAACAACAGGAACCACTTTTAATTTAAGGAAATGGGTTCCAAAACAGAAGAGAAAGCAACAAGAGATTGGGAACCAAAATAGGAAGCACAGGATTAACATCACCCTCGGGGCGTTTTCTTCTCATCCTCTTCCTAAAATTCTCTCCTCTGCTCATCAGTGTCATCACCCCACTGAGCTTCCTCAAGGCGTTAACGGGTATATTTGATAGCAACTGTTACCACGTTGGCCTAAGTTAGGAGATTTGACCCATAGATCAATGCCAATAACAGCGACTGTAACCATTACAAACATGAACGTATAATAGTTTGAAAGATACCTAATGCACGTTTTTGTTAGATTTTCTTATGTTCGATAGAAGTCAAATTACTTGTTTGTGTCCTGTGCTATGTTCAGGCAGCCATGATTAGATTTTCTTTAGTCCGCATTAATGTAAAACGCACTTAGGAATGGCTATACCAAGTATAATTTGATTGTCCCTGCATATGAAATCGTCGGAACGAATAGCAGGGACAAACATAACTTGGCACTAGTACATCATTCATTAAGAGAAGGGAGGAAGTGAACTCAAGCAATGCTGCATGTATATTAATAAACCAGAAAAACCCTTATCACTCCTTTCGGTTCACAATGCTGCCGAAAAGGTAGAAGTACCCTAGCATTTTATGGTGTAACCAAACCATTAAAAACAATGGCTGTCATTCAACAGAAAATTTTTTAAAAATCCTCATTATGGATGCCCAATTCTATTATGGACTTGAACCTAGTACGGCATATGTTAAAAACTGTCCCTACTTATTTCTTAGACAACAAAATGGAACCAGCTTATGACAATTTGTAAAAAACAAAAAGGCATAACAATGTGAACAATTACAATCTCCACATCACCCCACCCAGTCAAGCACTGTAAGTCCCAAATCAGACGGGGCATAAGTTTTACATTGGAGGCCGACCAGCACCAAGCAGCTGTCCAACTAGATTAGTTACCTGCAAACAACAAAAAATTCAAATATATGCACATTAAAATATTTATTTAATAAAACCACCATTTCTAAAATATATAAAAAACACCATTTGCACAATTATAGTTTCAGAGCAGTAGCAAAATTGTTTATGAAGTAATATATGCAAGATTTATTGCTTTTTATTCAATCAAAAGCAACACTTGATAAAGGGCACTACTTAATTTATATAATAAATTACTGTAAAAGAAAACTGCTATCCCAGTAGTTTTAAAATTTGACCAAAGAAATTATTTAGAGAACTCACTGACAACAGATATGACATTAAAATAAACGTAAGAAATCAAATGACTGAAAGAACAAGGAAACCATAGCACCAAATTCATAAGAAAAAAGATTGATAACTTACATGCCAGTATTTTGAGACACAGCGATCAATGCAACTGTTTTCACCCATATTTAACTCAGCCTCCTTGTACCTGGATGATTTGACAAATTCAAATTCACTAACTTCAGTATTAACAATAAAATGACCTAAAAGTAAAATGCCACACATTTTTTATACAGGTCCATAAAACATAAAAAGAGAAAAGAAAAGAGTTCTCATACTTCTTCTCAACGCACTTGTTGAAACATGTGTGGGTAAGCCTGAAATAAAAAAAAAAAAAAAAAAAAAAAAAACAATCATAATGAAAACTGGATAACCACAACAGCTAAAGTATTAGAGATGGAAAATTTCATATACCAAATTTACATTCACAACCTGAATAGATGTGCTTAGCTAAGTGTATAACACAAGGGTACTATAATGCTCACAGAATTACACAACACCACTAACAAGTCAGGTAGCTTTGGAAGTATCAATCATAAGCCTTTTTTTATTATTTTGTGCACCACCGTATATGCTCACGAAGTACGAAAATAGAAGTGAAGCAGGCAAGTGCAAAGAATTGCTCTAACTACAGGAGCTGAGCTTGAAGAATTCAGATGATAAGCCTTGCACAAACTCCACATTCCTTAAAAAACCACATTGGCATACCGTGACATCTAACAACACCACGCAGAGAACTTACTTGTTAAACAACTCAACCCTGTACTCCATCTCCTTCTCTGCCATACCAAAAATCTGCAAAATTTGTGAAAAACAAACTTCAAGTCATTCCAACGTCAAGATTATTTCAAAAGCACCACTCTTACCACTTTTAGGACAATAATTCGTAAGAAAAAGATTGTTAATCCATAAAAATGAACAACACTGTTGCTTCCTGACTCCCAGGAAATGCCTTGGTTTCACTAAGGCTAAACCCGCCATCATTGACCATTTACACAACATGACCAAATTTGGTTACACCCAAGTTTACAGAAGACGCAAGGTCTAAATACCCATTTAGCATCTGATCCATGAAATCCCAAAACTTGCCCCAAAATCCAATCTTTGCCACAAATAAAATTTCAATATAATAATTCAATTGCTTGACACTGTCCAATAGGTAGAAACTAAAAGGCAACGAAGCAAAGAGTGCCTACCTGTTCCTTGTCTACAGCCGTCGGCGCATTGTTAGGAGCAGCAGCCATTGGACCCTAAAAACCCCAAATAACTTAACACAGATTCCTTCAAAACCAAAACCAAAATGGAAAAAATTAGCGGAGAGGATTTCAGCAGTCTTACTCAGTGAGATGGAATTCAAAGTTGGCTGATTAGTAGCTCTAGATGTGGAGGATTTTGAAGAATCCGATTTGCAGGCAAAGCAGGAAAAATAAAAATCTTACCGAGGTATATGCACGATTTAGGGTTTTAGGAGCGAATCTGGGGTGTATGTGAGATAGACGGGAGCGCAAACCAGTTATGTTGTGTAAGCCCGAAAAGCAGTGGATTACTGCCCCACTCTTTTTATCTTTGGTACTCAAGTAGTGGATAATTTCACAAAGGCCCTAAGGTGGGCAGGACCAGAGAATTTTTTTATAACTTTACAAAAAGAAAAGCAGCCTTTTTTAATTTTTTGTTAAAGTAAGATTACCTTTTCACAAACGTCAAGGTAATTATCAAATGTCACGTTGCTATGGAGAGAGATTAGTTCTCCTAATCATACTTGAATGCTTGATTTTTACGTTCGAATTCCATGTTCGCCTCTCACATTCTTCAATGTCACTTGTATGAAAAAAGAATTTAAATTTTGCATATGTCTAATTTAGGGATATAATTACTTGTAAAGTCAAGTATTAGTTATGTTTTAATTCCTTCAATTGGTTCCAACATTGGAATTTTTTATGAATTTCTTTCGGCCCTCCATGTAACCAAAAAAAAGAGGGGGATGATGCAGAGAGTGGAGAGCATGAAAGTTTGCTGTGAAAGAAATATCAAAAGTTAGAAAAACAAAAATTGGAATGCCTACACCAAAAGTCTAAGGTCAAGTAGTTACCTACCCCAAAAGTCTGCTTCAATTGCACTACGGAGAAAGACTTTCTAATGTTCCTTGTCATTTTGTTAGGAATAACAGTTTGTGGAACAGCCTTGAAGATTAATCCATCTAACTGAAGTGATATTTTGATGTTCTCTAACCTCTCTTTTAATGAAAATTTATATATAATCCAACAAAAGATGAATTCAAAAAAAATGCATGAACAAAGACTTGTGCAGAAATGATAAACACAAGGTGAAACATATAATACTCCAAACATGAAAGAATCAATCTCAAACAGTTGGAGGTAGCCATAGCATTTGAATGAACCGAAAATTTTGAATCGATGGCATTCATGCTGGTAACGCGTGTATTACAAGGATCATTAAGAAACTAGACACTGTAATTAACCTTTTCAATGAATGAAGAAGCCATCTGATATAACAGCCTTTCATTCGCTGGCGTCATGACTTGTTGGTACTAGGGCATTATGAGCATCTCCGCGGAATTTTTCCATACAGATGAGTCCGTACCTAAACAGATATGACGTACATTCACAAAATATTTGCCAGACAATATTCCCTGAGCTCACAATGGAGATTGCAGATGGAAAACAGGATCTTACTCACTTATCCAAAAATAATATACTTTTTATAGATAGCCAGGTAGCACCTTTTATATTACAGATGACAGAGAGCGTACAAGTTTGGAACTAAGCCTCAAACAAGAACGTAGAGCCAAGTAGGACTGGGCACAGACAAGTAGCAGTACAAGCACGATAAGATTTGGAACTGCAACTTACTGCCGCCGCACATTTATAGAAAAGACCTTTTCTTTTCCCTGCTTGTGTTCATTAAAGCACTTTGAAGTGAAAAAGCCATGAGATTACAAAGGCAAAGATCATGCAGGCAAGTAGGAAATTCATAATGCGGCGGCCATGCCACATGGTTCTGGTTTCCACCAGGATCATGGGCACTGCTGGTACTGATGGGAGTGTGGTAGTAGTGCCATTTGCCTCATTTGTCTGCTCAGTGGCAATGTTGAATGCAGTGGAGCCACAGATCTCGCAGGTTCTGCAAAATAAATAAATAAAACTAAGTTTGTTAACCACAGACCAAAAGCTACCTAGTACAGGAATTGAATTGGCAATTTATCCAATCATCTTAACTATGAAACTTTGAGGGAACACAAGACCAGATGTAGGAAAGCAAGTATTATTGGATAGAAGGCCGCTTCAATTACTTTCTTCTTATCCATTTTTTCAGTTCAATAAATATCAAATCTTAAGAAGAAAAAAAATACACAGGCAGCAAAGAACATGTCACCCAGACAAACAAAGATAAGGAAAAATGTATTATGGGGCTTGTGCACAAACACAGGCCACAGTCAATTTTATAACCAACAGAACACATATATCAAGAATATAGAAGAGAAAGCTTAAGTAATTGAAAACTATCTGGCTAGGAATCTTTTATTTCTGTCCATGGAAAAAGTTCCGTCATCAATATGCCATTCCATTTGTTTACCAGGATGACTAAAATCAGAAGCATGCCTTACCAATCCACCTATGGTACCTTCTTGTGATATCATGTGATGCAGCTTATGTAAATTATGTTTCCTCATAAAACTTGGATGTTTCATTTGCATCCATTAACTCCACAAGCTAGAGAAATATTGCATCTTGTTTGTCAACAGTACATTATGTCAGTCTGTTCAGTTTGGTTTCCCCGAACTATCAACTTCAGAGTTATAAAATAAAAAGGAAAACAGGAAAACCCACATATATTTATCTCTTATATGTCATAAAGAAACTCAACTTGTAATGGAAAAAGTTCCCAATTGGTTTACACAAACGCTAAATCTTTTACTGAACCACAGGCATGATTTTTTAAAACATTTAGATCTTAATTAGCAGCATACATAACCAAACGCATGGGGCAAGATATCCACTTCTAAACATAGGAATAGAAATTCTGTGTGCTGCAGTAATTTACAAGTGCATCTTTGCTAAGAATGCTTGACCATTGGAACTCAATTCTTGCACATATAGACAACTCCTTTAGCTTGCATTGGACCCACACTCTCCACTACTATTAATGCTACAGAAAACGTGATATAAAAACTCTAAACCAATATGATACATATACTTAGGATTCAATGGATTGTTCAAGTGGCGACTACAAGATTTGTTTTTCTTCTATATATTTAATATATGCCTTCTATTCTACGTTGTGATCCGTCTCATTCAGCTTGCCAATAAGAAGCAAAACAATAAAAACAAAGGTGACTATTAGATGAAAGAAAAGAAGCTACTTGGCTAGTATGCATTTCAAAAAGCTGACCTCAGAGAAGCAGGAAGCTATGTACTGCCAAGATGCTAATCTGTTGTATTATTCAACAAGACTAAGGATGCTTATAGAATGATCATAGTTTGAAGTAAAACCACCTTAAAAGTGAGAGATTGACTCTAGAGAAACTATTTGCATCCATGTGCTTGCACTTCAATGCAGAGACCGGTGAAAACAGAGGCGGGATGGGGATAGGACAACTTAGTTGTTTTTGGTCTTAAAAAGTAAAATTTCAACACAAACAAGCCGATTTATTCCATAAGGTGCATTTGGGAGGAACATTAAACACTCAAACCAAAAAAGAGAAACATCCAGAATCCAGCAAACGGGTGTATAAAATTTCTATAAAAAAAACACCAAAAACCAAAGAAAATAAGGAACGGAATTCAGAATTCCTCACAAGCTTACTAATTTAACATGAGAAAAAGTTTGTACTCACGTATCACCCTTGATCTTGAACCAGGTCTCAGCACATTGCTTATGAGCAGCGCCCAAATCACCCTTGCAAGAGCAACCCAAGTCAATTGGGATCCCATCTGGGCCACCACCCTCCAAACCCAGGTGGCAAATTCTGCAATTTCTTTCAACTTTACTCAAATGCACCACCTTCAACTCCAAAACCCCACTCTCCAAATCCAACTCCAGAGAGCAATTTGAGTCACAAGAGTCCCTCTGAACATTACCTGAAACAGACACCCCAGAAAGCTGAGACTTAGGCCCTCCTCCTCCCCCTGGGGTGGACTCAAGCATGGAGTGCCAAGACTGGTCGTCCGAGTCATCGGAGGCTGACACGTCACTGCCTCCGCTGGCTGAATGGCGGTAATGGGTAGCCTCAGCAGCAGCTGACATTTGAGAAACCCAGAAACAGAAATGTCATGAAATGGTGGAGGAAAGTATTAAAGTTGCGGTCTTTGGGGTTGAAGGGTGTGTTTAGGAACAGCAAACATGGTGGGGTTGTGGAGTAGGTGGCGTTTGTTTTCTCTCTTTATCAAATATCAATGTCTCTCTCTCTCTCTTCTCTCTCCTCTCTCTGTGTCTCCCTCGATCACTGTCTTTGTTTGTGTGTCAGTTTCGAGCAATGTTGTTGAAATGAAAGAAAAAGAAAACGAAAGAGAAGACTTGAGAGAGCCCCGGGGCCAAGCCAAGGCGAATTATGAGGAGGCTGGTGGGGCAGACTGCACTCAACACAGATATATTTTATGCCTACCAGTTGTGGGACACATCACAGACACAGTGATTGAGAAAGCGACACGAGTAAAGATCAAGGGTGCAGGGGTTTCTTCCCCTTTGTTTGTTTGTTTGTTTTTTCTATATTAATTTGATTTTCATTGGGTTTCATCGTTTATGAAAATGAGGCAGTGTTATTTGTATTTTACCTTATAATAGAAAACTTTCTGATATTTTGTTATGTCAAATGAATTGTTTGCTTATAAGTAATTCTATACTGACTATACTTTTCACTTACCAAATTAACAAATTTGCTTTAGATAGCTTGGCATGGAAATTTGCATCATAGATTCATAGCCATAGGGTGGTCACTGGTTAAGCTTTTACAGGTTCCAACCAAATCTGTTTATATCACAAAGAGAGCTTGTTGATGTGCCCAATTTAACATGGCACACTTCCATTTTCTCCTTCTACACTGCTCCCCTTGTTTTTGTCCCTTGATAAAACGATAAAAATCACTACCCATGTTAAAAGTGGGCACAAGTTATATATATATATATATATATATATATATATGTATGTATATATACAGATTTGGTTGGAACTAGCTAAAATGCACTGCGATCACAACATATCATGTCTTCTAGTTTCTTTTTCTTCCTATACACACAGCAGAAGCATTATCCCTAACCAAAGGATACATTTTTATTTCTTCTTTATTTCTTTTTTGTTTTGGCAGAAAAGGTTATGTTGCAAGGTTATGCATCTTTTAGGGCATGCAAACAGGGTATCCTAGTGGAAAATGGCATTTACTTACATACTAGAGGTCTTAAGTTCGAACCCCCATAGCACCTTAGTAGTGTGTGTGAAAAACCCTCATTCCTATCTAGATTAGACTATCGCTTGTACTTTAAAAACAAAATTCCATCAAAATATGCTTATAGTTTCCAGTCAAAACAAGCAAAGCCTATAAAACCCATATCAGCAACATCCTGAGACCACACTCATCATGTCCATTGATCCAAGCATGATCAGTACTTTTGATTACCCAATTTTATACTGGCCATTGCTTGGGAGGCACAAGCAAAATCTTGTTACACGCTTGGCAGATAAGCACTAGCAAAGAGTATGTAGAATCAAACACCTTACCACTGCTCCAAGCCCGAGAAGGATGATTTCCAGAGAGCATGAAATGATAGTAATTTCAACGTAAAAGAAAAGGTTAATAACAACACCCTGCATGTAAGAATTTCTCATCAATTGTGATTTAACAAATTATAGTGCCACATGATAGTAGCAAAGATGCAAATATTATTCCTCTCGTCTTACATCCATCATTCAACATCAATATGGCAACTCGGGAAAAAAAATGAAGTTCTAAAAGATAATCAGACACCATCCCGATAGCATTCATGCCATAAGAAGAAACAGAACCAGGCACCAGAGCCAACGTGAAAAATATTGATAAATAAAAAACTGACACGAATGTGCTCAATCCTTCTTTCTGAAAAAACATTTCCAATTCGCATTGCTGTAAGCTTATTCTAGCTTCAATGCACAACGAAGGATGTTACAGTGGAGCGTCAAATATACTAAACCGAAGAAAGAGAAAAAAAAAATCATATCTAACCAAAAGTTATACCGATGGAGGATACAACCAATTAACTCAAAAAGAACATCCTAGTATGACAGATCAGACTACATCTTCCCAAAAAATGGAGGAAACCCATCAAGCTGCTTGAACTTCAGCTGCTGGAGCACTTTCTGTAGGTTTAGTCACACTTGGAACACTTTCAGGCGACTTTGAGTTTGGAATGTACCTCCAACCACGCTTGTGGACTCCACTTATTTTCTTGGGAGCATCTGCAGCTGGCAAGCCTGCAACAAATTCTACTATATCAACTTCCATATAAAAGAGAATAACTTAAAAATAGATAAACCTAATCTGAAAAAATGACCGCATATTATTTTAGCAATTCTTACTATCACAACTACAAGTCAAAACTGAACTCTAATGAATTAGCCATTCCAAAGCATAAATGACAGACAAATACTGAATCAAGTCTCTATAACAAAAAGGAACCTCCTATTTATGTATGTAGGTGCTCATGCATTACATTTGATTATGCAATCGCATATGTGGAGGGGGCCAATGTCACTTACGAAGCACAGATTTCTCATTTATAATTGAAATCAGGATGCACGTTCAGTCACAAATACAAATGCTGTGGCCAGGGAAGTGCATGTTCAATCTCTTATGTAACAACGCCAACTAGTTCCCTTGGTAGTTCTTTGAACTAAATGATGCATTATTTCCCAACCATTTAGGAGTCAGGACACTTTATTTTCAATTGAAGTTAAAAAGACGAGTTATCAGATATTGAACAACAGAATGCAGCCAAAACCAGGTGTACAGATTGAGCAAACATGATACATAGCATTGAATCGATGATATCAACCACAAACAGAACACAAATATTGATCAGATTAGTAAGCCCAATTCAGTAAACCTCAATACTTCGCAAGCACAAATGTTCAACTGGTAAACTATGATATACTTGAGTCACTTCTTTAGCCAGACACAGCTAAAATGTAAGTGATAAAACCCTTGTAACATTTTTCTTTCAAACGAAAGAAAGAAAAGGTATAATCCTTTATATAGTCATAAAGGCAAGTATTAGAGGTACAAATAAAAACTTCAATTGAGAAGAAAAAAATGTCACTTCCATGAAATATAAAACCCATCACTGACCTTCCTTATGAACGATGCCCCATGCTTTGCCATGCCTACCGTCCTGCCAAAATTTTTTTAAAAAAAACGCATAAACCCTAAACCATTAAACCCATAACAATAAGAAGGGGAATTGATTGAATGAACATTCTCACATCTAATTACGAGCAATCAAATGCAAAAGAAGAAAGCTTAGAGGCACAAAAGCCCAAATTTTTAATCAGTCCCACATTTTCTTAGTAACCAAACGAGCAAAAACCAACAATAAAGAAAAATTTGAAAGCCAGCAATAATTAAAAGAGAGACCTTGTAAAGATTGATTTTGGTGATCTGGTAAGAGACGCCGACCCAGTGAGTCTTAGCCATTTGGTACCCTAATCCCCAGTTGGGCAAAAACTGAGCCACCTCAAACAGGTTCTTCTTCTTCTTGCGCTTGGGTTTCTTCGAAGCCGAAGAAGAAGGAGAAGCAGCAGAAGCAGCAGTAGGGTTTTCGGAAGCAGTGCTGAAGCTTCTGAGGAAGCTCGATGTGAGTCTCCATAGTTTTATGGTTCGATCCGTTACTGCTCTGTTTGCGAGATTGCTCGCCATTTTCAAGTTCGCTTCTCACTCTATTTTCTCTGTAATGCTACGGCTTCAGTTGGGTTGCTCTTTGCTTTGCGAGGAGGCGAAAAATCAATTGAAAGGTTTGTCATGTTCCGGAATGACCCCGTAACTTTTCTAAATGGTTATGACCTTAATTTTCTATCTTGTTTTTCTCAAATATGTAAAATTAAATAAACAATCGCATTCATGATTATGACCAAGTTCTAAAATATCAATGGTTTTGGAAATATCGGTATTCTCAATACACGGAAATTTCTATGAAAATATCGGGATATTATTGATATTAATAAAAATTGAATAAAAACCATAGAAATTGTAAGAAAAACTTGAAAATTTTTCTTGAAATTTTGAAGGATGTTTATTTAGTCAATCATCTATTACTAAAAAATTGGAAGAAAATGCATTGCATGATGGGTTTAATTGATTTAAATTGATTATATAGTGAGCTGACAAAAACTATGAGTATAGAAAATATGTAGTAATTAATGAAAGAAGATTAAACACACAAAAACAGAGAATACAAAGGCTAAAAAGGCCAACTAAAGGAACAAATTTCCACAAACACAGAGAAGATTAAACTAAAACCAGTATAGTCTAGTATAATAGTCTTCCCCATCACAAAATCAAACCAAAATACAATACAAAGCCACCGTCTTCCGCAAAGGTGACAAAGACTGCATCATAATGGCCACAAATGAGGGGATACACCACCACCACACAGGTCAGCATTGTTGCACATAAAGACTCATCGATCTTCCACCAAAAACAGATATTTCCCAAAAATCGGAAACACATCAGCTCTCGAACATTTCTCCAAAAGTCACCTTTTCCATCACACCTAAATCTACCAATGCACCTAAGAGAATTGAGACTATTGGTGCAAGCGCCAAAGCAAGAACCGTAGCGAAAGCTCTAAATACAATTTGAGAAATGAGCAACAAATAGATATGGTTGTTGTATCCCAAAGGAGATTCCAAATCCAGAAAAAGCATAAGGCAAAAAGAGGATGAGAAGTTGAGAAAGAAATAAATATGGTTGAAGGGGTTGTTTGGTGGAGAACGAAGGACACAAAATTGGCATGAGACATTTAATCTTAGCATAGAGCATAAAGCACAAGCAGACACCACAGAGGGAGAAGCACCCAACTCTCAAAGAGAGCCTCAGAGGTAATCTATAAAAACCAAAAAAAGGGCTAAGACCCCTTCTGTAAGTCCTCAAAAAAGCCTTGGCATGCCCATGACCAAAGTTTCTCTCATCTAAGGGGGGGTATTGGAAGAATTTCTCTTGCATAATTTCAAAGGACGTCATTTTATAATATGTCATGCTAAAATGAACTTTTGAATATATCTCATTTTTAAAGCCTTTTAGGACCCGTTTGGTATCCTACTTGGATCTTATATGTATTTTTTTTTTTTTTTTTTTTTTTTTTTTTTCTTCTTGGAAAACAATTGAAACAATGTACCAAAACTACAATACCAAAATTTCATGTGTAAATCCCTAAAGTGTATTTGGAAGAACAAAGATCCTGTAACTTTAATTTTGGTATTGCTTTGATAATGAGAAATGAAAGCTCATACACTAAACTTTGACAACCAAAGAGAAGGGATGGGTCTTCCGACTCATACACTAGACTTTGACAGCCAAAGAGAGAGGATGGGTCTTCCGACCATAGAGAGTAGGCGATAGAGTTGAAAAAACACCAAACAATACTACTAAAGAGAGATGAGTAAAGACCAAAGTTGCTAGAAAGCAAATATCACTACCACAAATCCATAATGTTGAAATAAGCAAAGTTACAGCAAAAGCAGCAACTGGAAGTTGATATTGAAACTTGTCCCACAAACACTCAACCAGAAATTCATTCACATACTACATAAAACACTAACTGCAAAGTTGATATTCAAAGGAAACTACTGCTTGATAGAAATTACATTTCCTCCTCATACTCCCCTTGCTCATCCTCATATTCCTCCTCATCGGCTGTTGCATCTTGATACTGCTGGTATTCAGAAACCAGATCGTTCATGTTGCTCTCAGCCTCAGTGAACTCCATCTCGTCCATACCTTCACCTGTGTACCAATGCAAGAAAGCCTTCCTCCTAAACATGGCAGTGAATTGCTCACTCACCCTCCTGAACATCTCCTGGATGGATGTCGAGTTCCCGATGAATGTTGATGCCATCTTCAGCCCAGTTGGTGGGATGTCACAAACTGTTGACTTCACATTGTTGGGTATCCACTCAACAAAGTAGGAAGAGTTCTTGTTCTGCACATTCATCATCTGATCATCAACTTCCTTGGTGCTCATCTTACCACGGAACATTGCTGATGCTGTTAGATAACGTCCATGTCGTGGATCAGCAGCACACATCATGTTCTTGGAATCCCACATTTGCTGGGTGAGCTCTGGAACAGTCAAGGCTCTGTACTGCTGAGAACCTCTTGAAGTAAGAGGAGCAAAGCCCACCATGAAAAAGTGAAGACGCGGGAAGGGGATCAAGTTTACGGCAAGTTTGCGCAAGTCAGAGTTGAGCTGTCCAGGGAACCTTAGGCAGCATGTAACTCCAGACATAGTTGCAGATATCAAATGATTCAAATCACCAACTGTAAAACAGCAAAGCAGAGAAGACGATATCAGCTTTTATGCTCCTTTTAGGAAACAAAAGGGGCAATATAATGCAAGTTCATAGGGTATTTACTATCACAAGCATGCACAACAGAAAACTCATGCTTTCAGAACTCCGACACAGAAAGAAAGATTAGATCATCCATTGCTTGCCAAAACTCATTTTTCATCGGAGACTAAACAACAACTAATTACTTTTAGAACTACCATCAACAGGAATGTATTTTAACCTACAAAATATGCATCATCATCTGCACATACAACAGACAACTCATGCTTCAGAACCCAACAATAAAAACATTCATCGTCGCCTTTGCAGAAAATGAATAGCAGCTAATTACTCTTAGAAGTAAGAGCAATCGATATGACCATATCAAATATTTGACATAACTCAGAATGAAAACACGTTTGTCATTTTTCCTCAAAATTACCGAAGCATGCTTGAACCTTGAATTCATTCTGCAATAAATCATCTATGCCAACGCCATCATGCATAATTTATTCTTCTAACAAAGAGCTAAGTTACATGGATGATCATGACAGTACTTGACATGTAGATCCAGAGTAAATCAAGGTACATAATCATAAAATAGCATAAGATATCCATCCAAAAAACCGCGAAGATATGAAGAAACTTACAGCTGGGAGTGGTGAGTTTAAGTGTACGGAAGCAGATATCATAGAGGGCTTCATTGTCAAGAACCATACACTCGTCTGCGTTCTCCACAAGCTGATGAACTGACAGAGTAGCATTGTAAGGCTCCACAACAGTATCAGAGACCTTGGGAGATGGGAACACAGAGAAGGTCATCATCATCCGATCTGGGTACTCCTCCCTAATCTTAGAAATCAGAAGCGTTCCCATTCCAGATCCAGTACCACCACCCAACGAATGGCACACCTGAAACCCTGCAACACCAAATCAGAAATCACAATTAGGGATTTACCAAACCAAAATTGAAAACCCCCAATCTAAATAATCTCACTAATTACAGTTAGGGTTTGGTCATTTCAGTGTTCATACATACCTTGCAAACAGTCACAATTCTCCGCCTCTTTGCGAACCACATCTAGAACCGAATCGATCAACTCTGCACCCTCAGTGTAATGGCCTTTGGCCCAGTTGTTTCCAGCACCCGATTGACCGAAAACGAAGTTATCAGGTCGGAAGATCTGGCCATATGGCCCAGATCTGATGCTGTCCATGGTGCCAGGCTCCAGATCCATGAGCACAGCTCGAGGAACATATCGACCACCACTGGCTTCGTTGTAGTAGACGTTGACTCGCTCGAGCTGAAGCTCAGAGTCGCCATGGTAGCGCCCGGTGGAGTCTATGCCGTGCTCGGCGCAGACCACCTCCCAGAACTTGGCTCCGATCTGGTTACCGCATTGGCCTCCCTGGATGTGAAGAATCTCACGCATTTTCGGTTCTAGGGTTTTGCTGCAGAGAGAGGGAGAGGGAGATCGAGAGACAGAGAGAGAGAGAGAGAGGCGCAAAGTTGAAAATGAGGAGGATAGGAGGAGAGAGTGAGAGGGGGGCCTCTATATAGAGAGAGTGAGCTGTAACCCTATAACGGCTCTTTGCTAATTTTATTTTATTTGTTTTTTTTGGGGTTTTTGATTGGCTGTTTAAGTTAAATATCTTCACGAGAATCAACGGCTGGATGGATGCCATTTCATTTGATGGTTGTAAAAACGGTTTAAATTTTTTAGAGCCCATACGAAGTTTTTGAATTTAGAATTTGCAGATACAGCTGGATACGATTGGGCCCCACTGGTTTTGTTTTGTTTACGGATGCTGGATCCGGAAGAGTGAAAAGACTGAACCGCCCCCTCACCGATCTTGTGTGGTTAATGAAATTTAAAAAGCTTCTGCCGCCTCGGGCTCCGTGGCAAAAAGCTTATTCGTTGGGGGACTGGCTTTGCGTAAACCCCAGTTTTCCAACTGTTATAATTTACACATAAAAAAAATAAAAAAATAAATAAAATTAGTGTAACACAATATCAGGTGACATGTTAACATGAGATTACGGATATACCTTGTGAAGCTTTATTATAATTTAAAAATTCGATATTTAATGATTGTACAATTTAGTTAAATGTGTAACGCTAGGTCGACATATCATATAATATCATCGTCGCTTAGAAATTTCTTCGTTAAAAACCAATTGAACCACTTTTACTACATATAAATTTTCTCTTAGACTTTGAAAGAAATTAAGAAGAAGAAAAAAAATCCTGTCATAAGAAATTTCTGCCTTGCACTTGGACCTCAATTACCTCAATTACCCCATTACTTACATTTAATTTATATTTCATGTCATGTGTCATGTGATTTCATTAAAAAATAATAATAATA